CGCCCGCGGCCGCCGGGGGGGGAGGGGAGGGCGGCCGGGTTGGGAGGGGGAGGGGGGAAGGGAAACAGCGAGGGGCGAGCGGGCTCTCCGCTCGCCCCTGGCTTCAGTACCGGGTGGGGGGGGAAGAGGAGCTGGGGGGGAGATGAAGGGGGTGGAGGACAGGGGGGAACCAGCAGGATGGGGGGGTACTTCCCTCCTCCTGCTGCTTCCTCCTCTGCCTCCCCCCCCCGCGAGTATCGCGGGTCCCCCTTGTTAAAACCTAAATGTAGAAAATATATAGAAAAAGATACATGTATTTATTAATTACAAATTTTAAAACATATATAAGGGCCCGTTCACATCAAATATATAAATAACATGGCAATACACACGGGCTTAAAAACCTGACCTGACGCATTCCGGCCTGCATAGGTCTTCCTCAGCGGTCAAACAATTGAGTGGCAAGAAGGGTATATAAATATAATACAATCGTGTAGACACAATCAGAATGGATACAAAATATAAATTCAATATGGACCAGAAAACAAGCTGTTCCAGAACAAAACCACCAGGCAGACAATAAATATGCAAATGAGATCCTTAAAAGTGCCATCACTCGCCCAGTGGTTCTAAAGTATAGACTTTTGGTCCAAGAATTGCCTTCTTTGATTGTGTTGCCACAGTGTTCTCAAGTAAAAAGCAGTCAACTCTCTTTCGGGTAGGGAATGGATCAGAAATTGGTTAGTTGGTGAATTCATCGACAAACCACCTTCAACAAGGTTTGAGACCTTGTTGAAGGTGGGTTGTCGATGAAAATGCATACAGCAGCATGAGTGAATTTTTTTAATGTCGCGAAATTTGGTTGTTTGATTTTATGTAAACCTTTCTGCAATGCTTGTCACTGACTGTAAAAATAAATTATTATTATTTTTGACTAGGTCTTACCTTAGGTGATGCCCTGCCCAACTGTTTTTCTAATCTGAGGCATTCAAAAGATTCGCAAATTAATGAAGTGGGTATTTGTGTAGCCCAACTCTGCTTGAGGCTTAATTCGGATATTTTGAATGGCCTGCCTCCCCACGACCTGCCGGGAGAATTTACACCTTTGCTTCGTCCCGGGGTTGCAGTGCCGTGGACTACATGCTGACTTCCCCAGCCTCGGGGGACGATATCAGGGTGTTCTTGATACGGGGGGGCGTGTGGAAAGCGACCATTTTCCGTTGGCTTTAGAATTAGATTTCCCTTCCCCCTTTTGTGGGTGTGATCACTTGAAAGACGACCATGGGAGGGTGTTAAATAGGGTGCCCTGAATATATTGGTCTAATAAGGCTGCCCAGGGCTATTTTTGGGCAGGAACGCACAGGAACGGAGTTCCGGCTGGCTCCCACGTTGGCCACACCCATCAGGAACTCATTAGCATAATAGGCCACATCCAAGAGCCGAAACTCATTAGGACTGGCTACATTAGGGGTGTGTGGCCTAACATGCAAAGAAGTTCCTGCTACAGAAAAAGCCAATAAACAAAGTAAGTAGAATAAGAAGCAAAAGGTGGGTGTGGCTGGATGACCACACTTCTGGTAACATGGGGGTGTGGCCTAATAGGCTAATGAGATGTGCTGTCAGGGTGTGGCCTAATATGCTAATGAGTTCCTGCTGTTTGGGTGTGGCCTATTATGCTAATGAGTTCCTGCTGGGCTTTTTCTACAAAAAAAGCCCTGAGGCTGCCCAAATGGCAGCAGGCGTCCTGGACTCTCTTTTTTTTAGATGAGTTTATATGACTATCAAGGAGCTTGAACAAGACAGGAGAGCGGCTTTGAAGTCTCAACCTCCCAGCGAGTCCCAAACTGATTCCCGGCTCACCTGCCCTCCTGTGCGGAGTCGGTGGTTGTGGAGATCGTTCCGGTGGGCTTTTCTCGGGGGTCGGGGCTTCCAAGATGCCTCTGACCTGGGAGAGACAGAGCAAGCGGTTGGCCCTCTCTCTTCAATATACAGTGGCCAACTTCCAGATGGGGCCTCGAGATGTCCCAGAATCAGAAGAAGAGATTGGATTTATACCCCGCCCTTCACTCGGAGTCTCAGAACGGTTTAAGGTAAAGGTAAAGGTTTCCCTTGCTCGAAAGCCAGTCGAATCCGACTCTAGGGTTGCGGTGCTCATCTCCGTTTCAAAGCCGAAGAGCCAGCGCTGTCCGAAGACCTTTCCGTGGTCATGTGGCCGGCATGACTAAACACCAAGGCGCACGGAATGCTGTTCCCTTCCCACCGAAGTGGTACCTATTTATCTACTTGCAATTTCTTGCTTTCGAACTGCTAGGTGGGCAGGAGCTGGAACTAGAGACGGGAGCTCACTCCATCATGCGGCAACTCGGGTCTCGAACTGCTGAACTACCGACCTTCCACAGCCTGCAGTTCAGCGTCTTAACCACTTGAGCCACCGCAGTCCCTACAGAGCGGCTTACGTACTCCTTTTTTATTTATTTATTTTTAACATTTTTACCCCACCCACCCCGCAAGCGGGCTCAGGGCGGCTTACAAGCCCACATAAAACAGAGTTAAAACAATAAAACATTAAATAACACAGATAAAAATAAAGTGCTCCATAAAACAAGGTGGTCCCCGAATAAATCTCTTGATTCCCACAAAAGACACCCCCTGTGAGGTAGGTGGGGCTGAGAGAGCTCTGACAGAAACGGCTCTTTCTCAAGAACAGCTCTGACAGAACTACGGCTTGCCCAAGGTCATCCAGCCAGGTGCAAGTGGAGGAGTGGGGAATCAAACCCGGTTCTCCCAGATTAGAGTCCGCGCACTTCACCACGACACCAAACATCTGATCTGCAGGCTACAGAGGAACTGGCAGCTTTGGAGGGTGGATTCCAAAAACCTTGCCCTCCCCAGCAGTGCTCCCTCTAAGCTGAGTTAGCGTGAGCTAGCTCACAGTTTTTTTCAGCCTCCGGCTTGCACATTTTTGTCTCCGCTCAGGAAGGACGGCGCCAGAGCAAACTAATTTCTGCAATATAGCCACATGGCTCGCTCACAGCTTTAATGCCAGGAGCTCACAACGTAGGATTTTTGCTCACAAGCATCGCTCCCCAGACTCCTCTCTCCAAATCTCCAGGAATTTCCCAATCTCGAGTTGGCAACCGTATGCCCAATCTGGCACAGGGAAGAAGAAGAAGAGAGAAGAAGAGATTGGATTTATACCCCGCCCTTCACTTGGAGTCTCAGAGCGGCTTACAAACTCCTCTCCCTTCCCCTCCCCACAACAGACACCCTGTGAGGTAGGTGGGGCTGAGAGAGCTCTGACACAAACTGCTCTTTTTCAAGGACAGCTGTGCCAGAGTTTGTGACTGACCCAAGGTCACATCAGCAGGTGCAAGTGGAGGAGTGGGGAATCAAACCTGGGTCTCCCAGATTAGAGTCCGCACACTTAACCACTACACCAAACTGGCATTTGTCCTGAGTGCCTGGATCCAGCTACGGCTGAGAGGGGCCCCCCACACTTACACAGGACATTTGTATTGAATTCTGAATCCTGTGAGCAGCTTCAACAGCCACCTGGTTTTTAAAAAAATAATCACCAAATGCAAGGAACAGGGCTGAGGAGGAGGAACGGAGGGAGGAGCAGAAAAAGTGCAGAAAAGGGCAACTGGAATCATAAAAGGGTTGGAACACTTTCCCTATGAAGAAAGGTTAAAGCGCTTGGGGCTTTTTAGCTCGGAGAAACGACGGCTGAGGGGTGACATGATCGAGGTTTACAAGATTATGCCTGGGATAGAGCAGGTCGAGAAAGAAATCCTTTTCTCCCTTTCTCACAATACAAGGACGCGTGGGCACTCAATGAAATTGCTGCGCAGTCGGGTTAGAACAGATAAAAGGAAATCCTTCTTCACCCAAAGAGTGATTAATACATGGAATTCACTGCCACAGGACCTGGTGGCGGATACAAGCATGGACGGCTTCAAGAGGGAACTGGATAAACATATGAAGCAGAGGTCCATCAGTGGCTATTAGACACAAGCTCCTGCCAACCTAGCAGTTCAAAAGCAAGAAATTGCAAGTAGATAAATAGGTACCACTTAGGTGGGAAGGTAACAGTGTTCCATGCGCCTCGGCATCTAGTAATGCCGGCCACATGACCACGGAAATGTCTCTGGACAGCGCTAGTTCTTCGGCTTGGAAACGGAGATGAGCACCGCATCCCTAGAGTCGGATTTGACAGGCTTTCGAGCAAGGGAAACCTTTACCTTTACCTATAGATAGGAAATCTCGGTCTGGGGCAAGGGATGCTCTGTATTCTTGGTGCTTGGGGGTGTGGGACAACAGTGGGAGGGCTTCTGGTGTCCTGGCCCCACTGCTAGACTTCCTAGACTACTACCTTTGATGGAAGTGACACACATCCTGACTAATGGAATCTTTGACACCAGAATAATCTGAAAAATTGAATTTAGGGCCTACGATTTATGGCCTACAATACAAACTTGTAGCAATTGCAAATGCAAAAGCACATAAGAAAACAACATCTGGTCATATATATATATATATAAATTTCTTATGTGTATATTTTTGGATGTGTGTCATTGTAATATAAAGAATATTGACCACTGAGGAAGGCTTGAAGGGGCCAAAACGCATATGGTCCTTAGGTCAAAAGATTTTACCCATCAATTGTATTTGTATAATAACTAACTTGGTTGTACAAGCCTTTTAAGTCTGAAACTTAGACTATTTCTTTTAACTGCTGTATGTTTTAGTTGTGTGTACACCCTAATAAACATTTTGTATTTTTGGATAATATAGTTTGTAGCCTGACCCTCTCGGTTGGCAGCTAATTTTGGGTTGAGTTCCCCCCCCCCTTTCCAGTTATTGTCGGACTTCCTGACGGCACCTGGTATTTTTGGCCCCTGTGTGACACAGAGTGTTGGACTGAATGGGCCACTGGCCTGATCCAGCATTGGCGTCTCTTATGTTCTTATGTGGCGGCTACAAGCACGAACAGCTTCAAGAGGGAATTAGATAAGCATATGGAGCAGAGGTCCATCAGTAGCTATCAGCCAAAAGGTCTAGATAGGAACTCTCAGTCTGGGGCAAGTGATGCTCTGTGTTCTTGGTGCTTGGGAGGGCGACCAACAGTGGGAGGGCTCCTAGTGTCCTGGCCCCACTGCTGGACTTCCTGATGGCCCCTGATATTTTTGGCCACTGTGTGACACAGAGTGTTGGACTGGATGGGCCACTGGCCTGATCCAGCATTGGCTTCTCTTATGCTCTTATGTTCTAGTGTCCTGGCCCCACTGTTGGACCTCCTGATGGCACCTGGCATTTTTGGCCACTGTGTGAAACCGAGTGTTGGACTGGGTGGGCCACTGGCCTGATCCAGCATTGGCTTCTCTTATGTTCTTATGTTCTTACATGTGGAATGTAGGCAGGGCTGGGCAGCGCAGGGACCATCACTCCAAAGAAGGGATCAGGGGCTTCCTCTAGGGTTTCCATCAGGGTCAGCTGGTCAGGGAGAAGCATTGGCCTGTCAGGAGGAAAGCAAGAAAGGGTTAAAACCATAGAGCAGAAAAGGCCGTCGAGTACCACTCTCCCCTGCCCCCACCCCAGCACCCCAAAATACATTATCTAGGCAGCTTTGGTATACTAAATAGAAGAGATCTCAAGTAGGGTTATGGTAGCTCTTATTGAAATAACCGTAGTCCACCTTTAAAGCACCTCGAGATTTCTGTTTTATTCTGCCGCAAACCAGGCAGGGAATAGAGCAGCAAAGAAAGGTGGGTCACTCACTGCTCCAGGTCCGTCAGGTCAATGCGGATCTGCTGCTGCACCCGGTTGAGCCGCTCCAAGATCTGCTGGATCTCCTCTGAAAGGGAGAGGGGTTCGGGATGGGGTTGAGGGGGGCAAGACTTTCCCTGCTCATTTCTTGCCTCACTTCCAAAAGGAGGTGAACAAAATCGAGAGGGTGCAGAAGAGAGCGACGAGGATGATCAGGGGTCTGGAGACCGAGCCCTGCGAGGAAAGGCTGAGGGTCCCTGGGAATGTTTAGTCTGGAGGAGACTGGGGCGGAGGGGGGACACGACTGCTCTCTTTAACTATCTGAAAGGCTATCATTCAGAGGAGGGCCAGGAGCTGTTCCAGTGGGCGGCAGAGGAGAGGACCCGAAGAAGCAGGTTTCAGTTACATGCAGAAAGGTATCAGCTGGATATTCGGAAACACTTTTTCCTGGTCAGAGTGGCTCAAAGGTGGAATCAGCTGCCGAGGGAGGTGGTGAGCTCCCCTTCACTGACAGCTTTCAAGAAGAGGCTGGACGAATAGTTGTCAGAGATGCTCTAGGCTGGTCCTGCATTGGGGAAGGGGTTGGACTAGATCAGTGGTGGTGAACCTATGGCACGGGTGCCAGAGGTGGCACTCAGAGCCCTCTCCGTGGGCACACGTGCCATCGCCCCAGCCAGGCCCAGACCATCATTAAAGTGTCAAATTCTCTGCCAAATAATTTTAAGTAAATGAAAGCATTTGGGATTGCTTTCCTTACTTTGTTTGGATCACCTTAAGTTAATGTATGAGTTGTTTTTTCTAAAGTAAAACCTCAGTATTCAGGTTAAATTGCCGTGTTGGCACTATGCGATAAATAAGTGGGTTTTGGGTCGCAGTTTGGGCCCGCGGTCTCTAAAAGGTTCGCCATCACTGGACTAGATGGTCTGTATGGCCCAACTCCAGGGCTATTTTTGGGCAGGAACGCACAGGAACGGAGTTCCGGCTGGCTCCTGAGTTGGCCACGCCCAGCAGGAACTCATTAGCATAATAGGCCACACCCAACAGCAGAAACTCATTAGGATTGGCTACATTAGGGGTGTGTGGCCTAACATGCAAAGGAGTTCCTGCTACAAAAAAAGGCCCTGGGTATTGACAACAAACAAGGTCAGCAGAATAACAAGCAAAAGGTGGGTGTGGCTGGATGACCACACGTCTGGTAACATGTGGGTGTGGCCTACTGTGCTAATGAGCTGTGCTGTCAGGGCGTGGCCCAATATGCTAATGAGTTCCTGCTGTTGGGTGTGGCCTATTATGCTAATGAGTTCCTGCTGGGCTGTTTCTACAAAAAGAGCCCTGCACTATGATTCTATGAGAACCCAGGGGAACTTCTCCTGTCAAAGTGAGCCAGAATTCGGAGACAATGCAGGAGGCGTGAGAAGGGTAAGGGGCAGAATGTAGACTTCTACGGGTGCGGTGTCCTCTGACCTGAATGGCCCAGGCTATTCAGATCTCGTCAGATCTCAGAAGCTAAGCAGGGTCGGCCCCGGTTGGTAATTGGATGGGAGACCGCCCAGGAAGCCCAGCCTCATTATGCAGAGGCAGGCAGTGGCCAACCACCGCTGTCCGTCTCTTGCCTTGAAAACCCTGCAGGGTCTCCGTAAGCTGGCTGCGACTTGATGGCCCTTCACACACACACGGGGGGGGGGGGGGGGGGGGGGGGACGGGGACATTTATATCCCAGGTTAACAGTTCAATTAGAAAACGAGAAAGGGGTGCCAGGAACCCCACAGGGGCTGAGTCGTAAGGAAGGGGCAGACAGTGGGTGGGCAAGTGAGAGGATCATACCAGCCAGGTATTGGCACTGGCGGTTGTACACGCGGACGACCCCGTATTGCAGCTGGGCAGAGAGGTAGAGCGAGAACCGGGGCCGCGGAGAACCAGGAATGATGGGCGGGACCTGTACGAGTATGAAGGCGATGATCTCCTCGCTGCGAAGAAGAAGAAGAAACGGTCATCAGTACAACGGAGGGGTCTTTGTCCACCCCCTCCCGGGAGGAAGAGGAGATTGGACTTACACCCCACCCTTCACTGGCCGAAGGAGTCTCAGAGGGACTCACAAACTCCTTTCCCTTCCCCTCCCCACAACAGACACCCTGTGTGAGCAATGCTCCCTCTAAACTGTGGAGTCTTGTGAGCAAAAATCCTACTTTGTGAGCTCCTGGCATGAAAGTTGTGAGCGAGCGATTGGGCCGCTGCATCACTTAGTTTGCTCCGGAGCCCCATCCTTCCAGAGCGAAGACAAGAATGTGTGAGCCGGAGGCTAAAAAACTGTGAGCTGGCTCACACTAACTCAGCTTGGAGGGAACACTGCCTGTGAGGTCGGTGGGGCTGGGAGAGCTCTTTCGTGGACTGCCCAAGAGCACAGCTCTGAGAGAACTTGTGACTGATCCAGGTCACCCAGCTGGCTGCATGTGGAGGAGTGGGGAATCGAACCCGGTTCTCCCAGATTAGAGACCGCGCTCCTGACCACTACACCAAACTGTCTCTCCAACACCATCCTGGCCTGCCCTCCTAGCTACCAGGTGCTTTGGGGAGGGCTAAAGAGAGAGAGCTCTGAAGTCCCCCCTGGGCTTCTGAGACTTTCAACTGCAGGGCTTAAGGACTAGAAACTTGTCTGTTTAAACAATCAGATTTCCATGTGCTCATGTGGCCCAGTTGCAGGATTTACAGAGCCTCGTGTGTGACCGAAAACGACAATTCCAGTGACCCTGCAAGAATGGAAAGGCAGGAAAAAGAACTGGAAAGCAGATTCAGGTAGATGGCATCTGATTTGTCATCTGTGAGCCAGATTTCTTCCAGGGGCCATCAGCCACCGGCCACAGCGTTAAGCCACCCCACCCTTAACCCCCATTTAAGAAAAAAAATCCTTCCATTTCATCCCTCTAGCCATCTGCCAAATCTTGACGCCTAGTTCAGGGGTCCCCAACACGGTGCCCACGGGCACCATGCCACCTGCCGACACCTTTCCTGGCACCCACCAAGAGTTTTTAGAAAGTGGGGGGGGCCCTGTCGCCCAGCAGGGTTTCTGATGGGCCACGGGAGATCTGGTTGCCTGTGCAGATGTTTTGTGGCTGGCTCCGCCCCTGGTGGCAGCCATTTTGCGGCTGGCTCCGCCCCTGGTGGCAGCCATTTTGCGGCTGCTCCCACCCCTCTGAGTCAGAATTCCAAAGGTGCCTGCAGGCTCAAAAAGGTTGGGGACCCCTGTCCTAGCTGTTTCCACCCCTGTGCCTTCTCCCAACCCGCCGTCACTCACCATGTTTGCGGGATGTTGACTTTCAAGTATTCCCTCTTGAGCAGTCTGGTGGCACCGGTCGCTGCCAGCCTGGGAGATATGGGATTATTAATATGGGGAGAAGGTATCAGTGGGAGCTGTCAACCCCGCCCCCATGACCCCCCAAACCAAGAGCATTACCATATAGTAGCAAAACAGCCAGTGTGGCGTTGCAAAACATTGGGGTAGTAGAACATGGTGGAAAAGATGCTCTTCTTTCACCAGCAGGGACAGACCTCAAGATACCCCCTAATTTCTTTGGCAGACAGGGGGAAGGTGCGTTACCTCCTCAAAGTAAAACCTCTTTCCAGGCAGGATATTTAAACCAGGGAAGCTTTCCCCCCAATTTATAACCTCCTAAGTAGCCGGTAACTTTTTAAACTCTAAAAATCTCACAAGTTCCTCACTTTAGCACTGAAACCTAAAAGTTAAGGTGTGAGACCGGCCTTCTGAAGGCTGTTTCACACTGAAAATTCACACCCTGTTTCTCACTGAAATGGGTAGTCAAATGAGTCTGATAGGCATGGGCCCAATTAATTCAGGGAAGTGAAGAGCGGGGTGGAAATCACCAGAGATTTTAATGCATGAAAGGTGTCAAGTGACTAGCAACATAAAGCAAACCAGTTACACAAGGAAGAGAGGTCACATTTAATCGTGATATTAGTTTAACAGGGATTAAAATGGTCAACTGGAAAAGGAGGTGTTTTTACAGCAATTAGCAGCCAGGACTGCTAGAATAAAAAAAAAAAAGTTATTCAAGACTAATGGATGCTAAAACCCCAACTGATCAGTTGACAATAATTATATTAATGATAGGTGGAAAATAAAAGAATTGTTGCCAAGAATAATCAAATGAGTAGCAAGAATTAATCAGCAGTTCACTTACTGCATGAATTGTCAATATGGATAATTAACAGATAATTCTGAGCAGGAAAAACAGTATTAATAAATGGAACTATTCAGGATGGAACCAAAGACAACTTCTACTTTTTAGCAGCCATTAAATCTTTCAACGGGGTCAATAAATGAGTAGCACAAACGATAATAAATGGGGGATTTCATTAATACTTGTGCTAATAAATGAGCTGTGAGCTGTTCTAGTAAGATCTAAGAATGAAGGAAATATTAGCAAAAGTGGGAAGAAAAGCGTATTATAAGGGTTTTTTAAAAACGTATCTAGGCTTGGTTAATTTAAAACAAAAACAAAAAAAATAGAAATGGTAAGTAGTGTTAGATACCAGGAACCAGTAATACTTGGCAAAGGGAGAACCATGCCAGTTATCTAAATCCCTGGCATTATACAGGGAATCCAGTTAATTAGCAGGGGCGCAAAAATACATTTTTACCACTTTCGACCAAACAAACACGCAAAAATCCTATTTAAATGATCAAAGAAAACCACCCCCAGCCCAACCCTCCCACCCTCAGCTAGTCCAGCTCAAACTGACGCTACAAACAACATTCACCACTATAAAGCAATCTCCGCTGGCCAATCATCGCCTTCTTTGGAGTCCTGCTTAACGGGAACCAACGAATGGGAAATCTCAGAGATAATACCTTCCCCTTGGAGACAAGCGGCTCCCCTTTCCAGCCAATCATATCGCTGCGTTATGTGTTGAACGTTCTTAGCCCCATCGTAGACTCACCCAACCAATCAGGATAACGCCCGGTGCACGTGGACGGTTTCTTGTCGCTCGGCCAAAGGAATAGCCCCCTCTTGCCTCGCCCCTCCTCCCTCATGCTTTGCCCACCTGTCCAATGATCAGGCTCGCCACGAACTTTTAGCCAATAGAATCGTGGGCGGGGCCTCCCTCTTCAAAGGATCCTTGCTGTAGGTGGTTGTTTTACTTTCTCAACTCAGCCCTGTCAACGCTGGCCAATCAGGACAAGCGTGGAGAGAAGCTTATCCAATCACAGCGAAAGAGTTATTTTCCCTCCAATTTTTTTCCTTTTCCTCACTGGCACTGAAGCGTCCATAAATGGTAGCTTAAAAGAGCTTAGATCATGTCTCCATAAAAGTGTCAGCCTTGAAACCAGGGGAACAAAGTTTTGAGTCCAGGGGCACTTTTAGGACCCACAGAGTTTTATTCAAGGTATAAGCTTTCATGTGTATGCACACTTCCTCAGATACGATGTGCCTGCACAGACAGCTCACACCTTGAATAAAACTTAGTTGGTTTTGATACACAGATCTGCCTTGCCTGCTTGCTCCCACTGCCAAATTGGAAACACACAGTCAAAGTCCAACTATGAATATCTGTTTAATGCACTGAAAGGGAATACAGGGGCTGAGTATCTTAGCACTTCAGCCATTCCAAAGCTGTATTCTGCCATAACCAGGAAGGGCAAAAGGTCTTATACCCCAAATGACATCACGTATAGTTTGTACATTAAAGAACCTCTAATTGGTACCAAGCAGTTAACATCATAGGAGCTGCGGTGGCTCAAGTGGTTAAGACGCTGAACTGCAGGTTGTGGAAAGTCAGTAGTTCAGCGGTTCAAGACCCGGGTGCCGCAAGACAGGGTGAGCTCCTGTCTCTAGTTCCAGCTCCTGCCAACCTAGCAGTTCGAAAGCAAGAAATTGCAAGTAGAAAAATAGGGACCACTTCTGTGGGAAGGTAACAGCGTTCCGTGCGCCTTGGTGTTTAGTCATGCCGGCCACATGACCACGGAAAGGTCTTCGGACAGCGCTGGCTCTTCGGCTTTGAAATGGAGATGAGCACCGCAACCCTAGAGTCGGACTCGACTGGCTTTCGAGCAAGGGAACCTTTACCTTTACCTAGTTAACATACAAGCATCATTTGACTTTAAACTTTATTATTGGTCTCTCCTTACACTGGTCATGTATGTCAGGGACTGTGTTTGCTTATCTGCTCTTCAGAGCAATGGGAGCATTAGGAAACACTGAGATCCTTTCTGACCCTAGCAAAGCTAGGCCCTCTTTCCCTTGTTTTTTGAGAGCTGGGTGATTAGGGTTGTGATTCACATTCAACTTCGCTCTTGACGCCTTTGCAGATTCCTGAATATGCATTCCATTCTTATTGCATCCTAATTCTACCCTCAGAGGCCTCTAATAATGCTTTTCCTTAATATATAACTTCATATACAAAAAAGTGCAGTTATAAAATATATATTTTACTATGGCCCCAGTCACACGGCAGAGTTGTCGTGGGAGAGGCACGGATGGTGGGCGGATTATCCGGGCGCGATCACACCCCAACATCTGGGAAGTGGAGCGCACCCGTGGCTTACCGCCGACAATGCGCCTTAAAAAACTAGTACCTCTAAGGTACTAGTAAACGTTTGCCACAGGCTGCCTCCAGATCGCGCCCGGCGCGGCATTCCCCTCTGGTCCCTTGTTTACCCGCCGGCACCGAGGGAAGGACCCGTGGTGTGCCGCCGGTGCGACTGATCGCGTAATCGTGCATCAAACTGCGCCAGGGCAATTAGCCACGCCTCCCCCCTGCAATATCCGGCCTGTGTGACCGGGGCCTATGTTTCTCTAATCAGAAGATTCTAGGTTACATAACAAGATCTGGATCTGTTATAATTAAAGTTTTGAAGGCACAGTGACAGCTGTCAATATGTAAACATGTCAAAGGAAATGTCAGAACCCACATTCAGAAATCATTCATTTTTCACTTGTCCTACAGTTTTAAAGGTGCCACTGGACTCCAACTTTGTTCTATTGCTACAGACCAACACAGTTGCCCACCTGGATCTATCTTGAACCAGGGGAATATTCTTTGCACCAAGGGAAAGTGCAGCCATGTGTTCTATTCATTCCATTATTATCTTTAAAATCTCCTGTTGTATGTGTCTCAGTGTTTTAGTTCTCCTTGTACCTTTGTGTCCTTTTCTGCTACACTGAACCTTTTAAGAAACAGACTCAATTGTTTAACGGATAGGAATTAAACGGTTTATTGAGACCCCACAATTGGTACAACAAAGAATACAAGAATCCTGACCAAACCCAATACACACAATAGAAAAAAGAGTGGCATAGACGGTGAACAAACAAAGGGCAGGAAAGCCCAAAGCAAACACAGCTGGGAGAATGTGAATGAAAGGACAATCGTCTATGGTTGCAAATGATCTTTTAGCAATACAAATGAGTTCTGGCACTCTTCCCTGGAAACCCATCCACCCATCTAGTTAAAAAAATCTAGGCCCCAGTTTCAAAAGTGGTTTCCGTTGCTGAGGAATGGGCCAAGAATTCATTCCGACAGCACCAGGGAAGAAATGAGAACAGCTCAGACACTCTACGTTACCCCTCTTACACCCTTCCCTTTGCCCAGAGAAGGTACCCCTCTACTAAGTGGTACAGATCTCTCTATATTATAAAGCTGATTTGGGGTGGCATCTCTCCTATGGGATGGCAGGATTTGATTCACGTCAAAATCAGTTGGCCACCTGGACTGCCACTCACAAACGGGTCCCTGGCCACTGGCTGGGTTGGCTATGTCCCGCCCACAGAGGCAGCAGGCGCCGGAACTCAACTCACAAGACAACTTCACCTCAGGCACACAGGACAGACGCTCCGGTGACTCTGGCGCTGACGGGTGGCGAGAGCTGTGGCGAGGGAAGGGACTTTGTGAGCTCCTGGCATTAAAGTTATGAGCGAGCGATTTGGCTACTGCATAAATCAGTTTGCTCTGGAGCCCTCCTTCCTAAGCTAAGACAAAGACGCGTGAGCTGGAGGCTAAAAAACTGTGAGGTAGCTCGCACTCACTCAACTTAGAGGGAACACTGGTTGGCAGGCACCTTGGTGCCCAACGGCGCAGTGGATCCTTGTCCTTAGGTTTGGCGGGACTGGACAAACACTCACCGTTACAAAGATAAGCATCAAACTAAAGACAAGGGTTGACAAAACCCGCTCCCAACGTTAGCGGAATCAACTGTGCAATTTGCATTTCACCAGTATTAAGGTTCGAAACAGCTTTAAAGCATAACCCCGAGAGTCTTGCAGAAACGAAGGGACTTCACTCGAAGTCATGGTGAGACGGGAGCTCTTGAGTTCATCCAGGTTTTTAGCATTAATTCGGTTGTATCAAAAGAACACCACAGGCAGACGTCAGGCACACATATCTATAAGGCTTTTATTGTTGCTATAGGAAAATGCCTCACGGTCGTCGTTTCAAGTAAAGTGCAAAAAGAACAGGAGTGGGGATTCTAGCAGACACAGAAGATGGGCGCAGATTACAGAATTTGCTCGCCACCCCTACCGGTATTCCAAAAAGGAAATCCCTCAGTCTCAAAACGCAACCGGGATCAATCACATATAGAAGTCACTGCTTCTTGGTCACTCTAGTGTTTTCACAAGTTTACATATAATGGCTACAATTTCGCGCAGATGGAGTAAGTCCACGCTTACACCCTAAGGAACAGAGGGGGCCATGCCCCACAGGAACTCCAGAAGTTGCATGCTGAGAGGAGAATGGAATTGTTCAGCCCACAAAGTGCTATCTCAGACTCCACGACCCAGACGGGAGCTTTGGTGTCCAGGGTCATGTTCATCAAGGGGGAAAGTAGGAACCAGACGCTGCCAAATTTTCAGGCTGAGGGGTGTGGAAATGTCAACGACAGCGTGATGGAATCCAGGGTAGATATCTGTTTCACCTCAATCAGTCGGGCCGCAAAATTCTGTGCCATCTGCAGATTGGAGAATAGGAGAAACGTCAAGACCTCTCTTCCTCAGTCCCTGCGCCCTCCAAGTCAAGTGGAGACCTCTGGTATCCCAAAATGCACTGTTAATTGTTAATTTAATGAACTGCTGCCCACAAACAACCACCGTCCACCATCCATCGCCAATTGACCTTAACAGTGACTACCCATAATGCATTCTGCCGATTCCCAACCAGCACATATAATACACCTGTATCGTGGTACCACTACCGATCCCCAAGGCACTTCTTTCCTGATGCCCAACTGCCAGATAAAATAAATCCTTCTTCTGCCAACCCACAATGCATTTCTTTCTAAACCTTCACCTACAGTGTTGCTGTGTCAGATCAGCAACCCACCGTGCAACTCTGCCGTTAGCCGGCCTACCCACAATCCACTTCTCTGAAAATCCACGAAGCTCAGCTTTCACCATATACGCTCCATCCGCAGCAGGACTCCAGACTGTACCACGTGGTTCACCTTTCCTATCCCACAATGCACCTTTGCATGACCGGCCCTTACTTATAGTAAATCTTACCTGAATGACGATGAGCTTATTATTCAAACGATCATTTCCCTCCAGTTCTTCCCCTATACACAGCGTAACTTGGTGTTCCGGCTTAGGACCTAAGCCAAGCAGGTACCGGTCCCAGGCTGAGTGGGGAAAATGCAAGGAGAGGGATCAATATATACCAGGGCAGGGGCGCCATGGCACCTGTTGACACGCTTCCTGGTGCCCCGAAGTTCTTTTAGAAAGTGGGCGGGGCTAGGTGGGGCTTTTGCCCAGCAGGGCTTCTGACTGGCTGTGCAGATTAAAAGGCGTCCTGTTACACAGAACGTCTGCCTGAAATGCTGAAGAGTTACTACTGGAGTGATATATAACCTCGATCTCAGACATTTTGTGGTTGGCGCCGCCTCCTGCAGCCGCCATTTTGTGACTGCCTCCACCGACTGCAGCAGCCATTTCGTGGTCTCTTCCGCCACCCTGGATCAGAATTCCAAAGGTGCCCGCAGGCTGAAAAATGTTGGGGACCCCCTGTGGTAGAGTTATCAACTCCAGAAATTAACTATCTAAAATTAACATTACATCTAAATAAATTGACCCTGCAGGACAACTTACTAAGAAGAGTAACATCCCACTGTGCACTGCATTGGTCAGGCCGCACCTGGAGTCTTGTGAGCAGTTCTGGAGGCCTCCCTTCAGAAAGGAGGTGGACAGAATGGGGGGGGGGTGTGCAGAGGAGAGCGACGAGGAGGATCGGGGGCCTGGAGACCAAGCCCTGTGAGGAAAGGCTGAGAGACTTGGGAATGTTTAGTCTGGAAAAGAGGAGGTTGAGGGGGGGAGGGGACCTGATCGCTCTCTTGAGGTATTTGAAGGGCTGTCCCTTTGAGGAGGAGGGCAGGGAGCTGTTCCTGTTGGAAGCAGAGGAGAGGACTCGCAAGAATGGGTTGAAATTAAGGGCGGGAAGGTACCGGCTGGATCGTAGGGGAAACTTTTTTGACAGTCAGAGTTGTGCAACCGTGGAATCGGCTGCCTCGGGAGGTGGCGGGCTCCCCCTCACTGGAAGTCTTGAAGCAGCGGCTGGACGAACACTGGTCAGGGATGCTCTGGGCCAGTGATGGCGAACCTTTTAGAGACCGAGGGCCCAAACTGTGACCCAAAACCCACTTATTTATCGCAAAGTGCCAACACGGCAATTTAACCTGAATACGGAGGTTTTACTTTAGAAAAAAACAACTCCTACATTAACTTAAGATGATCCAAACAAAGTAAGGAAAGCAATCCCAACTGCTTTCATTTACTTAAAATTATTTGGCAGAGAATTCGACACTTTAATGAGGGTCTGGGCCTGGCTGGGGCGATGGCACGCGTGCCCACGGAGGGGGCTCTGAGTGCCACCTCTGGCACCCGTGCCATAGGTTCGCCACCACTGCTCTAGGCTGATCCTGGACTAGATGGCCTGTACGGCCCCTTCCCACGCTGCGATTCGACCTCTCACCCAAACAGCGCAAACTAATGCACTTAGATCTTCACTGAGGCGAGAGTGTCCTCAGCCATTAACCTCACCTGACCGGAATGCCTTGGGACTAAACACGTGAAGGAAATGGTCGCTGTCCAGCTTCCCAGAGGCCTGGGATTCCGTGAGTCCCTGCCAACAGACGCTGGCTTTGCACTTCCTCTGGCACTGGAAGAATATCCCTTCCCAGTTACTCTCGGCCATCACACCCTTCTCCAGATCCTTCAGCAACTGCAGGGTGGCCTTCTGCTTTCGAGGGTCCTCTACCCCGTCTGGACGTGGCAGCACCACACGGTGCATCCGGTTACATGGCGCTTCCAGCGGCGCGGGAACGGACGTGATCAGAAAGTCGCCTTGCGGGAGCCAGAAGCTCTGAACCAGCACGCCGCTGTAGAAGACGGACATCTGGATGGAGAACTCCTCTAGGAAGAAGAGGAGATTGGATTTATACCCCGCCCTTCACTACCCAAAGGTGTGTCAGAGCGGCTTACAAACTCCTTTCCCTTCCCCTCCCCACAACAGGCACCCTGTGAGGCAGGTGGAGCTGAGAGAGCTCTGACAGAAACTGCTCTTTTTCAAGCACAGCTCTTATCAGAACTACGGCTTGCCCAAGGTCATCCAACCAGGTGCAAGTGGAGGAGTGAGGAATCAAACCCAGCTCTCCCAGATTAGAGTCCACGCACTTAACCACTACACCAAACCAGCTCTAGGAGAGGAGAAGGGGGAAGGTCAGCCATAGGCAGACTAATAGCCCTGGACATGCTAGCTTGTGTATGAACAGGTCGATGAGGACGATCAGGGGCCCTGGAGGCTGAGCCCTACGAGGAAAGGCTAAATGTTTCGTTTGGAGAAGAGGAGACTGAGGGGGGGACACAACTGCTCTCTTTAAATATCTGAAAGGCTGTCATTTGGAGGAGGGCCAGGAGCTGTTCCAGTTGGCAGCAGAGGAGAGGACCCGAAGCAACGGGTTTAAATTACACGCAGAAAGGTATCGGCTGGATATTCGGAAACACTTTTTCACGGTCAGAGTGGTTCAGAGGTGGAATCAGCTGCCTAAGGAGGTGGTGAGCTCCCCTTCACTGACAGCTTTCAAGAAGAGGCTGGAGGAATATTTGTCAGAGATGCTCTAGGCTGGTTCTGCATTGGGCAGGGGGTTGAACTCTATGATTCTAGATCATAACCACAAATAGCACACATCATATAAATGGATTAGGTAAAGGTAAAGGTTCCCTTGCTCAAAAGCCAGTCGAGTCTGACTCTAGGGTTGCGGTGCTCATCTCCATTTCAAAGCCGAAGAGCCAGCGCTGTCCGAAGATGTTTCCGTGGTCGTGTGGCCGGCATGACTAAACACCAAGGCGCACAGAACGCTGTTACCTTCCCACCAAAGTGGTACCTATTTATCTACTTGCAATTTCTTGCTTTCAAACTGCTAGGTTGGCAGGAGCTGGAACTAGAGACGGGAGCTCACTCCGTCATGCGGCAACTCAGGTCTCGAACCTTCCACAGGCTGCAGGTTCAGCGTCTTAATCACTGGATTAAGAATAGCCAAAAGGCCATTTCAAGTGTTACACACACACAAAGTTAGTTTGGGGGAATTTCGCGTGTATGCGAAATATAGCTCCAGAGTTCATTGGTGGAAACTGCGGTGATGAAACCAGTTAAAAACCTATACTTCCCTGACAGGAATCTTCTTATATCTTAAGCCCGCAGGCCACAAACAATGCAGATGTCAGTTTTCAGACAAAAAAAAAGGGACAGTTAATGGTAAAATATTGACCTCCAGAAGTACAGAGAGATTTGGAGATCACTGCAGTGTTCCCTCTAAGCTGAGTCAGTGTGGGCTAGCTCACAGGTTTTTTTAGCCTCCGGCTCACACGTTTTTGCCTTAGCTCAGGAAGGAGGGCTCCAGAGCAAACTAATGTATGCAGCAGCCAAATCGCTCGGCTCTCAGCTTTAATGCCAGGAGCTCACACAGTCCAATTCTTGCTCACAAGACTCCACGGCTTAGAGGGAGCATTGGTGATCAGCCTTCTCTGAGATTCTGGGACCACACAGACATCCTGGAAGTCAAGTGTGAGCTGTGTGATTTCACAAAGCTGCCTTCTACTGAATCAGACGCTCGGTCCATCAAGGTCGGTCTTGTCTACTCAGACTGGCAGCGGCTTTCCAGGGTCCCAGAGGGCTTCCGTATCATCTACTGCCCGGTCCTTTTATCTGGAGACGCCGGGGATTGAACCTGGGACTTTCCGGCAGGCCAAGCCGATGCTCTCCCACTCCGCCACACCCCCTCCCGCAAAGATCACACACACGTGAAGCTGCCTTCTACTGAATCGGACCATTGGTCTATCTCCAGGGTCTCAGGAAGAGCTCCTTCACATCACCAACTCCCTGGTCCTTTCAACCGGAGAAGCCGGGGATCGAACCTGGGACCCTCTGCAGGCAAAACAGGTGCTCAGCCACGTGGCCACCGCCCCTCTCTAGCATGCACGGACTCTCCTTCTTCTCCTCCTCACCTCCTACGAAGGAGACTGACCCCTCCAGGGCAGGTGCGGGGGGGAGACGCTCGCTCTGTGTTCTCACCTATTCTCACCACCAGAGGCATCTCTACCGGCAGAGTCTCGGCCTTCACACAAAGGGCGATCTCCGTCACGTCAGGAGCTGCAAAGGAGAAAAGAAACGGAAAGTGAGAAACTGGGGAGTGACCAACCCTCCTTTCCCAAAATCTTACATAGGTGCTCTCCCCCCCCCAAAAAAGTGTTCCCTCTAAGCTGAGTTAGTGTGAGCTAGCTCACAGTTCTTTAGCCTCCGGCTCACACATCTTTGTCCTAGCTCAGGAAGGAGGGCTCCAGAGCAGACGCACTTATGCGGCAGCCAAATCGCTGGCTCACAACTTTAATGCCAGCAGCTCACAAAGTAGAATTGTTGCTCACAGGAGTCCACAGCTTAGAGGGAGCATCGCCCCCCACCTACCACAAAGCCCTTGGAACCGGGAATGGATGGTAGCCGGAGGCCCTGAAAGGAACTCACGCGCCCTCTCGGGCTTCATTTCAGACGCTGCTTACCAGGGTTCGACACCAGAACCTGTTTTGGGCTTGCAGCAACATGTACAAGACACCAAGGGACGGAGTGCCCACCAGCACGCACAGAGTGCATTTCACCCACCAATGAGGAACTGCACAAGACTGGAATTAAGGACTTCCGCACACCCGGAATCAGGAGTCCTGGTGGCTGCACCGAGTCCAGCGCCCCTCCTCTTCGCAATTACACACTGCAGGCCGGAATCCCTTCCCAAACAAGAGTTCAATCGCAGCACGTTACATGAGAGTTCGGCCTCCCACACCCACTGATTTGCACAGCACATAAAGAGAAGCACAAGCCGATTGAAAGCCATTCCCCATCACAGAATGCTCCTCTCCTTGAAGGGCAACATTTGGCGGGGGGGGGGGAGGAGATGACTGGCAGGGGTGACAACACAGGGGCTGGAGGAAGGTTACACCACATTTGCTCAGAGGAACTGTCCTTTCCCAACGGCCTCACGGTGCTGAAGAAACGGGCACAGGAGTATTATGAAAGACCCATTTCCAGCCCCAGAGAGTCATCCTGCGTACAAAGCCACATCCTGCCCTCACCCAAGTTTGCCTGCTTGAGCTCGTCAAACAAGCTCTGCCCTCACTATGGGAAAGTTTTAAAGCAGGGGTGCCCGTGGGCGACACGGCGCTGCCAACCCCTTTCCTGGCGCCCACCGAGTTATTTTCAAAAGCGGGCGAGGCTCCTTCCTGTCAAGACTCCCAAATGGTCACTGGAGTTCTGATCAGCTACTTAAAATAACAATATTTGGGCGGCAGCTGCCAACACAGTGTGGTTTTCATTTCCTCTCATGCCTCCTTCCCTGTGTATTTTTAAAAATTATTTATTTATTTGTTTGTTTAAATGTATAGCCCGCCCTCCCCGCGAACGGGCTCAGGGCGGCGTACAGATGGGGCCAATACCCAATACATAAAACATTAAAACTGCATTTTAAAAACATTCAATACAACATAAGTGCTCTCCACAATATCTAACAAGGGAACAGATGACGTCATCAGGATAGTATCCTTAGTGGCCACAGCTCCACACAGTACCACCTTTTTAGCGCTCACGGCGAGTTGGTAATAAAGGGCTAGGACAGATAGTAATAGTCGTACACGGACGGTAAAAGTCGTGGCGGCTCCTACTCAAATGCCTGGCGGAAGAGCTCCGTCTTGCAGTCCCTGCAGAACTGTGCAAGGTCCCTGTAACGATTCCTTGTTTTTTGGTGTGTGTGTGTGTCTTTAAAACTTTGGTTGCATGGAGGTGGTAAGTGGACTAGAGTGGTTGAGAGAAGCAAGCGTGGTATGATTGGTGGTTGACAGAGAGGGGGAGGGGTTTTGGAAGTGAAAATGAGTGGATGAGTATGTATGTCAGTCAGGTTTGACAGTTACAGGTTTGACAGTTGATAAGTTCAGTTAGTTCTGTGTGGGGAATGAGTTAGACAAGCAGTAGTTCTGTGTGTAAAGGAAGTGAGAAGCAGTCCTGTCTGGAATAAGTTAGTTCAGTGAGAAGCAAAAGGACGGCTGAGAGAATAGGAAAAATTAAATGAAAGCTTAATTGAAGACAAGTTATAGGAAAGGCTGTATGTCCTGGAGAGAAACAGTGAACACATATGACTTTAGGTCTTTGATAGCGTGTCGTGATCTGCCCTGAGCCTGCTTGAGGGAGGACGGAATATAAATCTGAACACTAAATAGATAAATGAAGTATCTGTTGGCGTGAGTGTTAGGACAGGACCTATCAGCTCTGTTTCTTTTTGGGGTGCTGCTTCTTTCCCCCTCCCGAGAAAGCAAAGAGTATGATTTCCTCCCCCAAGTCCTTCACTGACACAAACCTCCTGACCGGAAGCGAGTGCGGAAGGCGCCTCTGGGGCACTGTGCACCACAAGGGTCCTAAGAAGAGTGCCCGAGGCTCCTGAAAATGCAACCGAATTCCCCCACCTGGTTCACCGGACTGAAGGCTTAACTCCTCTTCAAGAATGGTGAGAGTAGCCGCAGCGTTCAGAGAGGGGCTCGACGTGGCCTCCGACGGGGCGCTTCGATCCTGGAGGAGAAGGAAGAACAATCAGACTGCGCCTGCTGTGACTCCGCTCGCAGTTCACGTCGGCACTGGACGTCCGTCTTTGTGCTTCCTCACATAAACACGAACGTACCCCTGGCTCCTCTACCAAAGTCCCCTCCCCACCCACAATATGGTACATTTTAAGGCACCGTGTTAGGGACTCCTGCCCTGGAGACAGGCACAGGAAAGATGGCGGAACAGAAGTACATTGATGTGACTGCCTCATACCAGGCCTGACCCTTGGACTGTCCCACTCAGTCCTGTCTGCTGGCAGCAGCGCTCCAGGGGCTCAGGCAGAGAGGGGCCTTTCCAGGTCCGTGGCCACTGGGGGGGCATTGCCCCCCACAGATGACTGCTGCCCCCTCAGACAAAAAAATAAAAGAAATTCCCACAGAATTTTTTAAAAAATTCATTAAAAAAAAAACACCACACAAACACGTGAGATGCATGTGGGTGTTCCAAAATGACCCCAGGCACGGTCAGGGAAGATGCAATCTAATTCCTTCTTCTTTTTCCAGGCCGAAAAATAAATAGGTTTTTAAAAATGCAAAAAAAAAAAAGAGAGAGAGAGAGAGAGAGAGAATAAAATTGCAAAATGCTAAATTAAGAGAGTTGGAGATTCCCCCCCCTCCCCGGATTACACAGGAAAGGAGCCTGGAGTCGAGTCTCTCCAACTGAAAGGACTAGAGGAGAACTAGAGGTTGCAGTGGAACCAGAGCTGCTGCTTCTGTTGCTTCAAGAGGAGCGGCAGGAGCGGCCGGGGTGCCCCCCCCAGACAAATTTCCTCACACCACACCCCACCAACCAAAATGTTCTGGCTACGCGCCTAGGCCTTTCCCGTTAACCCAGATCCTTTCGTCAGAAACAACCGGGTTTGATCCTCCACGCCCAGCAGATGCTTGGCTGCTGACCCAAAGTGCACGGGGGTCAAGACCAGTGTTCCCTGTAAGCTGAGTGAGTGTGAGCCACCTCACAGTTCTTTAGCCTCCGGCTCACACATTTTTGCCTTCTCCAATGTTCCCTCTAAGCTGTGGAGTCTTGTGAGCAAAAATTCTACTTTGTGAGCTACTGGCATCAAAGTTGTGAGCAAGCGATTTGGCTACTGCATAAATTAGTTTGCTCTGGAGCCATCTTTCCTGAGCGAAGAGAAAAATGTGTGAGCCAGAGGCTAAAAAACTGTGAGCTAGCTCACACTAACTCAGCTTAGAGGGAACACTGGTCAAGACCTTTAAAAAGGGGTGTGTCCGGCTTAGGCAGAGACGAAAGGACGGAGGCTTTCTATCTGAACCTTGTGGCTAATAGCCACTGATGGACCTCTGCTCCAGATGTTCATCCAATTCCTTCTTGAAGCCGTCCATGCTTGTAGCCGCCACCACCTCCTGTGGCAGTGAATTCCGTGTGTTAATCACTCTTTGGGTGAAGAAGGACTTCCTTTTATCCATTCTAACCTGACCGCTCAGCAATTTCATGGGAGTGCCCACGAGTTCTTGTATTGTGAGGAAGGGAGAAAAGGACCTTTCTCTACCTGCTCTACCCCAGGCATAATCTTATAAACCTCGACCGTGTCTCCCCTCAGCCGTCGTTCCTCCAAGCTAAAGAGCCCCAACCTAGTGAAATAAACGGGGTGGGGGGGGAAGAGTCCAATGGCGAAACGAGGAACTGCAGGAGAACGGCCCAGAATTGGGGAGAGCACACGGGTTCTGGCCCACATGTCAAGAGGTGAAAAGCTCACACCGCCCTGAGCCTGCTTTGGCCGGGAGGGCGGGTTATAAATTAAATAAAACGAATAAATAAATTCTAGCTGCAGGTAAAATTATGCACAAGAAGAGAAGGAGGCAGAGCGCAGGAAGGGATGATGAAGAAGAAGAGATTTGATTTATACCCCGCCCTTCACTCGGAGTCTCAGAGCGGCTTACAAACTCTTTTCCCTTCCCCTCCCCACAACAGACACCCTGTGAGGTAGGTGAGGCCGAGAGAGCTCTGACAGAAACTGCCCTTTTTCAAGAACAGCTGTGCCAGAAC